AATAATCTTAGACTGACTTTTTTCAGATTACCAAAAATCAAAAGAAATGAGTGAGTCAAAGGTTGTAAGGCATCATTTTGATTATTAAACATTTTCTCAGTGTTAGTACTCCAAGATGGTTAACAGTGCCCCTGGAGAATTTCCATATTATAAATTTCAGGGAAAGGAAAATGAAAAATTCTATTTACAATACAACATAAAAGAAGCTGTATTTTTAAACACACCATTAAAATACTAATAATCAAAAGAACTGCCAAAAGTTTGTTTATCTCTTTGTCCTTTGCATCTTGTAATGGTAGCTCAGTGGAAATAATCATTTTGGCTTCCAAATAAAATAAATTCAGATGATCAGAGCCCAGTCAGTCTCCAAGTGGAGGAAAGAATCTGTTGAATAAGCAGGGCACAAGAGTCCATCATGTCAGCCTCTACTCATGTCAGAACATCTCAAGTTCACCAATATAATGTTTACATTCATAGCATAAACAATGCATCTATACCTTATGCTATTTGGAAATTTTAAAATGTAAGATAGAAAAGCAGATGAATGCTTTTTAGATCTAAAAGTTGAAGGGAATAATATAAACAGTTTTTGTAGACATATTATAAATATAAAACCTCTTCAATATTAGTAGAAATTATGAAGGTTTATCTACATTTATTTTTCAAAAGGCTTTTTTAAAAGCCAGATTTATATAATAATTACAATGTTCCTTGATAACACTGCTAAGAAATTGCTAAGATAAATATTAACAGCAACATACTGATGACTCACTACATAAAATGCTCACAGGGTGGGTGTCCAATGATTTCAGATTTGATCATTCCGATCATTAATTGTCTCTAAATTTCTTGACTTCATTAAGGACTGTCACAGTGCTCTTACAACATGATCTTCCAGGTACTGAAGACAATTCACTGATCTCTAAAAATCCCTCTCTTCCTGGGACGTTCTCCACCTAAATCCTCCTCATTCTACAAAATTCTTTACAAATAAGATCTCTTATGAAGTCTCATTCCTTTGGGATCCAGTAGTACTGAAAGTGCACTTCTGTAAGCACAGCAAACCTTCTGAGATTGATTCTTGTCACCTGTTTGCCTCTTTCATTATTATTCCTGGAGCTCACCAGGCCATAACAGTCTTAATACCTCATCTCTCTACTGAGTGCCAAAGGAACATGGTGTGCTCTGTCAAGGAGAAGTGAAACAAGACTCTCACATTCCTTGATCTGAAGATATTCTGATGACCACAGTTCAAGATCACATATACTTTCTTTTAGCAAATGCAAAAAGAACCCTTTTTTCAAGCCCAACCCTTCTTCACATGCATGATTAAAATTTTTCTATTGTGTCTGCAACAAAGTAATTAAAATGGATAAGCAAAAGACTTTTAAACTTGTTCTTCCTCAGTTTGTTTACCCTCTCTAGCACATTAAGATCTTTCAGAATATTAAAAAGTCCAGTGCATCTGTTATCTTTTCCACTTTTCAAATGCCTACCTGAGGCGTCACAAATTTCCTCACTGCAATTGCTCAATTGTAGGCTGACAGTTTGTGTATATTCAGCATTCTTTGTTGATTACCAATGGGACTGGGTCTAGAATTATAAGCTGAAAATCATTTCCATTTGATCTTGGAGATGTCTCCATTTTTCTATAGCAATCAGTGATTCTCATGAAAGTTAAATGTCATTTTGATTTATGTCTCTTGAATGGTTTGTGTTTTCCTTTCTAGTCTTAACAGTATGTTACTGGTCCTTAGTGCTCTAAGGCTTCACAATAATGTGTCTGAATGTGTCTCTTTTTCTCATTCATTTGGGCTAAATATAAAATAGGGCTTTTCAGTATCCACAACAGTGACATCTCCTTTCTTCATCTCCACCCTAGCAGCCCCCTCCCCATGGTCACACCTTGCCTGATGAGCTCATCACTGTAAAAGCTTTTGACATCAGTTAACTGACAAAATTCTCTGACCAATACCTTCACTGGTTTTAGAATTCCTACTACTTTGACTTCTCCAGCCTTAAAGAAATTTTTGATCCACAAAATCCATTAATTTTTTAGCATATATCAATTTTCCCTAATCTTTACATCTCTCCTTATTAGCTCAGATTTGACAGTCCATTGTTAAAATCACTCTTATAAAAATGTTATTTGAAATTCTGTGTTTTAATATCTAAGATCTGTTTTACCTACTTGGACACCAACAAACAAATCAGTAACCAGGAAAATCATCTAACATGGATAACTGGTTTCACTTCAAAGTGCAAGATCTAAATGTTAAATGGAAACTCAACAGTTGCTATTTTATTCTCCAGGAAACCAATGCTGTGCCTTTTTTTCAAATTTAAACATCATCAAAGTTCCCTTGTCTTTCCATCAACAAATACATAAAGTCTCCCTGGACATCACCCAATCTCTCCTTTTACAGAGGAGTTGTGAAACTATATTCCTTGGGCTAGGCGAATTTCTTGGGCTCAGTAGTGCCTTAGCATGGACACAGCCTAGGTTCAACGTCCAGCACCAGAACAGGGTCGGAGAGACAGGCATCTCACCCCTCCTCCTCTTCTCAAGAATTTCACTGTTTTGTGGTCTACTTCCTTTTCCTTATTATCACTTCTCCTGCTGAGCCCAAACATTTCAATGACTACTCAAACATGCTCTAATATTGCTCATTTTAAAACAAGGCCACATTTACTCCTCAACCTGGAATTATTGGATTTAATTGTTTAATCTTTACTGAAAATACTATATCCCACTAGTGGCAAACTGGAGTGTTATGGTTTGTGTTTAGACATTCCCCCAAAACCGCATGCAGATGAGGTAGGACTTTCTTTTTCAGAGGCACTTGAATCTGGAATGTGTGATGCTGGGATTAAGGCCATGTGATTACTAAACTATTACATGTGAGTGATTAGTTTGGTACTACCCTAATCCTGGTAGTCTGAAAAAGATAAAAGGGGCAGAAAGATGCTGTTAAACTCTCCATTGTTGTCTTGCTACCTTGTGCATGCCATGTTGTTCTGCTCTGCCATGTCTGTTTGTCAGCCCTGCTTTGGAGTCGGCAGATTACAGACTGAAACCTCTAAGAAATGTAAGCCAAACAAACCTCTTCCCTTTTAACTTTGGGTGTCAGGTATTTTGTCTCAGCAGTGAGAGAAAAGTAACTAACACATTAGGGCACAGGTGTTATTGTATTTTTCTTTTAAGACAAAAGATGTGAAAGTAGAGTTGTTTTTTTCTAAAGTAAAACCTCAGTATTTAGGTTTGACATTTTGTGAAAAATAAATAAATAAATAAATAAATAAATAAATAAATAAATAAATGGGTTTTGGGTTACAGTTTGACGGTAAAAGTTCCTCATTACTGCTATATACTAAAATCCTGCAACACTGGATACTCTAAATTCATCCTTAGATCAAACTGTAGCTTATACTGAACTAATTTGGGCTTAGTGTTGTGTTTAGGAAACTGAGTTTAATCATTATCTTGTAAAGCTCTATGAAATTTGTCACTCGAATTATGATTACATAAGTAATATTACAATGCATAAATTATGCAGACATTACTGAAGGAATTTCCTTCATAAATATTAATACGAGAAATTTCATCCTGGACTCAGCAACAATTCAGGCTGTATAATGCCCAAACAAATTATCTGATTTTATATTTTGAACATTCTGAAAATTGGAACTAAAGTACTTTCTTATTATTTTTAGATTGCTACTATCCTATCAATTATACAATATTCTTTCTGAGTCCAATTTTATTCTTACTTTGATTAATTTTGTCTTTATTTTCTCTCTTCTCACTTGTCTGCTTTGATTGGTCTATACTGAATCAGGAAATTGAACTGAAATTCCCATGTAGCACCCTTGAAGCCTTTCATTATCAAGTAGGTTTCAAAAGGAAATGAATATGTAGAAACCACAGAAAATACCAGCCAAGGCCCAGGGACAACTCTGTATGACTTATTACTCATTTGACTGCTAATTATGGAAGAAATACTGGGTTGTGTTTCATATATTGAATTTTTCTGTGAACCAACATTTCATAGAATTAAAAAAATACCAAACACTGTGGGCACAAATTACTTCATCCCTTCCTGGAAATGAACGCTCTGATAGAGAAAAGAAGGTAGAATCAACATCACCTTCACCCCTAGAAAACTCTTTTAGCACTTCTGTCCTCATTACCAAAAGCATTTCCTAGGTAAGAATCTGAGTCACGGATGTCAAAAGGAACAGGTATTTAGATAGCAGCTGATAGCAGCTGCTCTTCAGGTGTTGGTTTTTATGCTTCATTTGGTTCCTAGCTGCCCCACTCCTTATTTAGTTATCTACTCACAAGATGGCTGTGTCAAGGCCTTGCCGTGTGCTCAGAGGTGAAAAAATCTGGATATTTGTTTCAAATATTAGTCTCATAAAAACTACTAATTCATAAAGTGTATTTAAAATTGAAATTCATTCTTTACTACATAATTACTGTTTTTTCCTGCTAGTCTAATCTCAGCACAAGTCACTTACATTCACCTTCATCTCTGCCAATATTCAATATGAGCTATAAGAATAACATTCCCAGGGCCGGGGATTTAGCTCAGCGGTTCTGGCACCTGCCTCGCAAGCACAAAGTCCTGAGTTTGATCCCCGGTACCGCAACAACAACAACAACAACAACAACAACAAAAGAATAACACTCCCAAAAATTCATTTCTAGGCATTCCTAAAACCTTCTTCACCATAATTTGTGTTAAAAACAGTCTTTCAACTCCTTACATTCCTCTCTCAAACCTTTCTCAGCCTCCAAACTGCAGTCTCCTATCTCTAACAAAATGTAACCCTAATTTACAACTTTCACATCCAATAGACTTAATATAATGGCTTAGTTTCTGGTTTCTCACTGAAGAGTGCCCTCAGTCTCAGCAAAGCCTGCTGCGGTGAGACTGCTCTGTGATGCGGAATCCTCAATAGAAAATTTTGGAAGCATCCAGCATGGTTTCACTCACGGGAGGTTCTGGAAGCCAGGAGAGTAACTCGGGAGCCTCCCAAGAAGTGGAAGCCCATCACAGTTGGCTGGTCGTCGTCTGGCTGGCCGGCAAAGCCTGCAGGAACAGGAAGTCACCTTGTGTAACTGAGGGTACGTTAGCACATTTAAAGTACAAAGCTTACACAAGTTTTTGTCACTAGCCATATTTCAACTCCATACATGAGCCATCATATATTAATTTGGATTTCCATAGTAGCTTCTAATTGCTGGAATTTCTGCCACACAATAACCCTCCGGGATGATTTCATTTCCTTTCCTATGGTGGCTGACTCCAGTTCTGAGGCAGAACACCCACAAGATAAACCAGGGATAAATCACCACAGCAAATGTCACAGACGCCATTAGGGACCAGCAGGGTTCTATGAAAGGGTTACAGAGCCAAGACAAAGAACTGCCATTGGCCACGGACAAAATTACTTTACTATCAAAGAAGATAACAGATGCAGTGCTATTACTGAAACATCAAATATATTTAAAGGCATGTGTTTATGGAGATACTCAAAAGAAACATAAATGGTCACTATCAGAGGATTCTCACGTATCAATACTATTTATTTTAAATACATACATTCCTTGAATTACAATGGGACTATGTCCCAATAAATACATCATAAATTGAAAATATTGTAATTTAGAGGTACATTTAATGCACCTAACCTACCAAACATCTAGGTAGGCTCATCTACTTGAACTGTGCTCAGAGCATCGACATTAGCTGATAATTGGGCAAAATTAGCTAATATAAAGCCTACTTTATAACAAGGTATTGATTATCCCATGTAATTTTCTAAATGTCTGTACCCAAAGAACACTGGCAACTCAAACACCTCACTGCATATAGACTGCTTCCCCTCATGGCTAGGAGGCTGAGTAGAAGCTGCAGCTCACTGCAGCTCAGCATGACAAGAGTGTCATCTGACAAATCACTAGTCCTAGAAAAGATCAGAGTTCAAAATTTGAAGATGAGTTTTTATTGAATGCATGTCACTTTCATACCATCATAAAGCTAAAAAATCATAAGTCAAACCATCTTAAGTCAGAACTGTCTGGATTTTTAAAAATTATGAAGAGAAAGCACTAAGGATTTTGTTCCAACAATCCCACTCAAACTGCACCACTGTGAACTTAAGGGAAAGGTGCTCTGTTTGGGAATATTCCAGCTAAAAATTGAAGAAAGCTAGAAAGAAATAGGATATCACCATTTTTTGGTCACTAAGAAACAAGTGGATCTCAGCATTGAATATCAATGACATCATGCACAAAAAAAGAGAGAAACAGACTGACAGAAGTATATACTAACCACCAATGAGTATCTCTGGCCAAAATAATTCTGCCCCTACTAGCTTTAGATCTAACTATCAGTTTCACAGGCAACATGGAAAAAAAAAAAGAAGCCATATCACAGAAGATAAAGAATATAACCAAAGTGGTGACACCAGGCTTCCTCCTTCTGAAAAAATAGTAAAATAAAATAATAAGAAAAAAGGAATGATAGAAAGTTCTCCAGAAATAAAAATCACCCTATAATAGGTCAAAGGCACATTTAAGAATCAAGAGCAACACATATGGCTATGAGAAAAGGTAGAGAAATTCCTCACTTCAAATGACATTAGGGAGATGTGTAAAATGTGGGAGATAGTGCAAAATTTTGTAGAAAAGCACCACCCAAATAAGGCCATACAAGTGGGAGCAATAAATCTGTTTAACGATAATGCAATGTCACATTTCCACGAAATCCTCAAAAGGAGGCAAAATCAAGTGTCATTGGACAGGTTCCTTGTTAAAGGTGCATGAAAGAGGTTCCACTGAGCCAACAGAGAGCAGTGATTCCATTAGTGATAGTGAAAGTCTCCTATATAATAACCCTCCTCTTTCTTGTCTCACTCACACCAGCCACAAAAGTTTTCAAAGGTAAGTGTATGGTAGGCTAATTTGTTTATTTTTCTTTAAATTTTATATTTTCTTTATTATTTTGTATTATATTACAGTATTATAATCATTTTTATATGAATATTTTTGGATTGTGGAATGAATCATCTGAGTTTCCATTATTTCTTATGGGAAAATTCACTTTGTTATACAAGTGCTTTGGATTACAAGTACGTTTCCAGAATGAATCATGCCCACAAACTAAGGTTTACTGTATTATCAATAATCTTATAGCAATTGATTCAACAACTTAGATGAAAGAGACACATTCCTTGAAAGATGAAACAACTCACTCATAAAGAAATAGATAACCAGAGTAGTTCTATATTTTAAGAAGAAATTCAATTTGTAGATTAAAAGCTGACCCATAAACAAAATGCTAGGTCTAGATAGCTTCCCTAGTGAATTTTATGAAATATTTAAGCAAGAAATAATACCAATTTACACAAGCATCAAAAAAACTGGAAAAAAGAAAATACTTCCTTACTTATTCCACAAAGAACACATGAATGGTAATTATAAAGAAACTAAATTACATCAATATCCCTGAAGAACATAGATGTCAATTCTAAACTAAGTTTAGCAAATTAATTCCAACAATACATGAGAGGATAACAGACCATGACCAAGTGTGATTTATCTCAATAAGGTACAGTTGGGGGTAACTAAAAAATTAATGTAATCTATATTAACAGACTAAAGAAGAAAATGATATCAATCTCTTGAAACAGAAAACCCCTTTTTTAAAAATTTAACATTTATTTATGATAAAACTCACAGTAAATCAGAAATAGAAGGGAACTTCTTGAACCTAATACAGCATAAAATACCTATGGCTAAAGCATACTTAACAATGAAAGACTGAATGTTCACTCTCACAGTCAAACAAAAACAAGAGAAAGTCTGGGTTAGGCAAAAATGTCTTAGCTATAATATTAAAATCAAAATAAAATTTAAAAATCCATAACCTAGGCTAATAAAAATTAAGAACTTTTGTTTTTCTAAAGATTGTTAACAATGAAAATGCATGCCCCAGAGTGGGGGAATATATATACAAATCACACATTTAGTCAAGGAGCGAGCAAAGAGAGATGAAAAGGGCATATCCTGCATAATTCCATTTTATAAAATTCTAAATGCAAACCCACAAGGACAGAACAAGGCCAGCGGCAGATTGTGGAAGGAGAATAAAGGATTAACAAGAGATACAGGGAGCTCCGAGGTGATGGGTATGTGTGTCTTGAATGTGAACGGTTTCACAAAAATATTTAAACACTAAAAGTCAGCAATTTATACCCTTCAAGCCTGTGCTTTATTGTATTAAAGTTTTAACTCAGGCCGGGGATTTAGCTCAGCGGTGCAGCTACCTGCCTCACAAGCACAAGGTCCTGAGTTCGATCTCTGGTACCAAAAAAAAAAAGTTTTAACTCAATGATGTTTTTTAAAATATGAAATAAAAAATGAAGCTGCATTTGAGAATTTTTAAAAATATAAAGATGAACCAGCAGAAAATATAAGTAAATACTTATAATTTTATAATAAAGATCATTTGTAACCTACCATGAAAATCTCAAACTATAAAAAAGCAATTAATAAAATTTACTATCTAAAAATCTAAACTTGACATGTTAAAAGAAGAAATACAAGTAGCTAAATAAAGTTACAAAAAGTTTATGCTAGCAAAATATTTAGGAGTACAAATAAAAAATGAGACCTATTTTTTATTTATCAGTGTCAAAATTTTTCAAAGATTTAATAAATCCATCTGGACACACATATAAATGCTGATCTTGGGAGTATAATCTGATATAGTTTTTATGGAAGGCAGTTTAACCATTTCATAAGGTTTTTTCAAGCATGCATATCCATGAACTCAATCATTTATCTTCAAGGAACTTCTCTTAAGAGAAAGACAAGTGGAAAAAAACCACATGTACTTGAGACTTCCAAAAAATGTGACTGATATTATCTTTAAAATATAAACTTATTGATGAGCAAAGGCAGATATATATTTGAGTAACATTACAGACTACGACCAAGTGACATGTTATCTGTTATTACATTCAAGTAAAAATTTTGTGTATAGGTATTGTTACCATGACATACACTGACAATCAACTACATTAACATCCATTCTTTCTGGTTCTTTCTTCCTGGCCCATCTACAATAGTTCTCAGCCTCCTGTGCTGCTGGAAGAGCCCATGTGACAAAATTATAGCTACTGAGATCTCAGTAGAAATTTCCTAGGAGCTTTCTGGAGATACAGTTTTCTGATAAAATGTACACAGTTGTTTTTATAGCTGTCTCTCCCCGACCTTTTGCCTTATAGTCAGGTAGGACACCTGTAGCTAAAGCAAATATTTTATTGCCATTGAACAAGCCACACACTAGGGACAACAAACTACAAGGAAACAAAAAACAAGGTCTTTGTGACAGTTGTGAGCCTCTGCAGCAGCATCCACTGCCTAATCTGGGCTTCTTATATGAGATTAAGAAATATCTCTATCACTTACGTCACTTTACCCAGATGCACACAAGAAGATATTTACATAAATGTAAATGAACATTTTTCATATAGCCAGTGAACATATTAAAAGCTTTCTATAATTATAATATTCTTTATTGGCAAGGACTTGGGTACCAGAACTCCATTCAAGCACTGTTGACAGGGATAACAAACATGGCCCTGCAGGCAGGCAATTTCATACTGTATTTCAGAAGAGTTCAAAATATTCTTATCTTTCATTTAATGCAGCAATAACAATTTTAGATATTTCATCAAAGAAATAATCATGAATCTGAAGTATTGTTACAAGGATATTCATCACAAGTATATAAATATCTAAAAATGTAATGCTAGCTAAAATGATTGTACGGCATAGATTTAAGATAGAATCCTTCCTGATCATTAAAATATAATGTAATCAATCATTAAATTTATGTATTTAAAATAAAGACATAGAAAAATGCCTTAAAACAGTGTGAAGCTGGACTTTGTAGCAAACAACTGTGATTCCAGCACTCTGGGTGGCTGAGGCAAGACGGTTGCAAGTTCGAGCCCAGCCTGGGCAACTCAGTGACTTAGTAAGACCTATAAAAATAACATGGCTGGAGAATCTCACAATGTAGCATAGTATGAAGGGCCTAGGTTTCAACTCCTTTATCGAGAGAGGAAAACAAAATGTATGAAAAGTTAAAATCTTTTGTGGGAAACAAATGCTCAGAAAAATAATTTTAACAAGATTAGAAAACTGTAATAAAATAGATGTATTCCTGAATAGCAGAATTACTGATAACTTCCTTTTTTATTAAGTTAGCTGTATTTTCTAAATCTCACATGTCTTTTATAATAAGAAAATCACTTTAAATATATCTTTATTTGTTCACAAAAAGGAACTAAAATAAATAAGGGATGTAGATTAAAAGTCATTTTATTTCTTCTCCATGAACTCATTCATTTGCTTCTTTCACTTACAAAAATAACAGATCCGCAATAGCAACTTTATATGACACCAACATACAAAAGCCTAACATACACCAAAAGTAAAATGGTATTTATCTTAAACACAATTTCAGCATGTTCCATCTGAACACAAATTCAGGAATTTTCAAAATGATATATAATGTATATTAAAATATGGAAGAAAACTTTTTTAAATTTGTCATTGGGTCCTATTTCTAAAGAGTTAAGAAGCAAATGCATGCTGAAGAGCATAAGACACCTGTGATGTCAAACCACCTGAGCCCCAATCAGGAAGCAACGGTCTGAGTCAGGCAAGCTGTCCTCACAGACACTGTCCAACGCGTCCCTCACAGAGACCACCTCCCTGGTCAAAGGTGTGCGCTGCTATTCAATCTCTAATTGGGCTTCATTCATCTACAGTAAAGACCAACTTCGTAGAAGCTCCTTAAAGCTTTTTAAAATGCACCAATAAATTTTATTTTCAACAAATAATTTCCAATTATGTTCACAGGTAGTACAGGCAATCCAAGGAACTACTGTAATAAAATTATACAGGATATCACAAAGGCAGTGACTCTTTATGCCTTTCTGTTAAATCCAAATTTGTTACATAAAGAAGAGAAAAAGAGGTAAAGGGAGGGAAAAGAAACTAAAAGGTAAACAATCTATACATGCATATGTAAACTGTACCTAAGTTCAATTAAAACTTACAAATCTAATAAGTACAAAAAAGCGTAATTTAATTTTGGAGATGTTTTTAAAGAGTTACATATGGATAAAGGTTTATAAGTACTTCAAATTAATAAGAAATAAATTTAACGTACTTTAAGTAATAAAAAAATTGACCTACTAAAAACTTCTAAACCTTGTAGGAAAGAGTCTTTGTATTATACCTATTTATCAGATTGCTCCTCAGGGGCATAAGAATATATGTTTTAAATGTAATATGCAAAAGCCCACAGTGAAGATGAATAGTAATATTTATATTCTTAGCAAAGGGATATATTTAAAAGTCTATGGTAAAGATGAATAATAAATTTTTACATTCCAAGCCAAAATTCCAGTCTAAAAAACATACATTTGATGTTTTTATTTCTGAATACCACAGCAAAATATTGATTATAATAATTTAAATCAAACTTAAAAGGTACATCTTATTTTGCTGTTAACATAGCTGTTAGCCTTTGAATAGGCAAGGAAGAGGGAAAAGTCCTTGAGGCATTTTACATTCTTAGTTAACAATTTTGGGATAATTACCCCCTCATTATGTGCTGATGAAGGATTCCACTGGAAATTCCTTACATTTATGATGCCACAGGCATGTTACTTCAAAAGTCCTACCTGGGAAGAGACTGAGAAGGCTGACTGGAGATTTGTTGGTATCAATGGTTAGTTTGTGGTTTGCAGTTTTTGAAGGCTGACCAGGTAGACAGACTAATTTCAAGGGGAGTCTAAATTTACATTGGATAACTCGAGGAATACCTGAAATAAAAGAGAGAAATGCAGATATGTAGATTTGACAAATAATCTAGAAAAAGAGTAACTGGCAGGTTGAATGGCAACATATATTACTTCTTAATTTTTTTGTCTATTTTGTTTAGTATAACTGACATTAGTACACAGTGCTATTGTAAGACATGTTTTCACTATTTTCAAAAGAGAGCAATGCAAAAATAAAATCTTAAATGAAGCATAAGCATGAAGTTTGTCTTTAAGAGCAGTAACTGTTTTTTTCTGTGGGTTTTTTTGATACCAGGGATCGAACTCAGGTTCTTGTGCTTGCGAGGCAGGCACAGTGCCACTGAGCTAAATCCCCGGCCCCTAGATATCTTTTAAAGTGTCACATTTGGATACTATAAAAATCATTATAGTTACTTATACACAGTTACTGAACTAAGTCTTTGAACTAAGTTCTCCAAAGTGCTAGGCCTAATTCATGACTATCTGCTAAAATAAGTAAAGAATATAAAGTTTGTATCAGAAAGATTCTCTATAATCCAACATTTTCTCTAATCCAAATATTTTAAATCTTTAGTTATCTTTTTACTTATTGAAGATTCAAGTTATATAAACAATTTTCCATAAATTATGAGCGTGAAATCATGATTCACTCTACTAAAGTTCCACTGAAGTCCATGTCCATTTTATACATTAGAATGAAGGATATTACTTTCATGGGAATTAAATTTTTCTCAAACCATATAACATTTTGAAAAGTTTACATAGTCATTCAATTGTCAAATGTTTTCAGTGGTCACTGAAATAGGTAATTAAATAAAATAACAAGTTTCCTATTAGAGTTTTACAAAAATTTTAAATCATTTTTTCAATACTTTTACAGAGAAAAAACTGAAACCAAAGTAAATTATTGTCTCTACTTATCACATATAGAAAAGCAACAGTTCAATCTTAGTTTTCATTCCTTTGATTCTAGGGCTCTGCTTTTGACTGGATAAGATGAAAGATGAAAGATCTTATTAGAAGGTTACATCTTAGTGTATTATGCACACAACTGCAGAGAATGTAAAACTTGAAATGACTTACTCTACTTAATGGATTTGCACATTAATTCCTTTATTCGTTACAGTGGAGTCAATGAGAAGCTTAAAACCAGCAAAAGTAGAAGCAAACGAGACAAAGAGACAGGACTCAGGCAGTGTCCCTATGTTAGCCACCGAGTTTGCCAATGGAAGTGGGAGCTGTGGGTTCACCCTACATCCACGCTGGAGCACACTGTCCTGCACCATCTGTCCATGGCAAGGGAGTGATCTCCAATAATGGTCAGCATGGGACATGCGAGTCAATTAAACAGCATGTTTGTCATTCTCTTCAACATAATCTATTATCCATCAATTTCGCCTGGTTCATCTTTGGCACAGAACCAACAGAAGTTAAATTCACTTCTCCTGAAATACTTGATGCAAATTATTACTGGTGTCTGTCAAGAAATTCCCAGGGTATCATTTGCTGAAGTTCTGTGAGGTTTTTAGAGGCATGTGTATATGTATTTTGCAATGACGAAATGTTCTGACTCTAAATATTATGGTAACGTGATCTTAGATATCGTCCAAACCACAACATCAATACCACTACAAATAAAATGACAAAATATTTTTTCCAACTTTAAAGAAATTTCCATATACCCTATATATACTCCAATTATGAAAATGGACCCACTGTGACATGCTCGAGGACATGGCATAGCCTGGCCACCACTACCACCACCCCCAGCTTCCCCAGGTGGGAAACTTTGCTACCCACAGGGAGAGCTGTTACAGACAAACACGGTGCTGGCAAGAAAAGGGCATCACATCCCAGACCTCAGTTCCAAGAAAGATCTGCACTGCCACCAGGTCCAAGGAGCAGAGACTGCCCTATGTTTACCCCCAGACTCCTCAAGGCAATGAATCTTATTATCAATGCCTGGCAACCACCTAGCAATCACTTCTCTTTTTAAGTCTGTCCTCTTCCCCCTCTCTATGCTGGTTCTGCTCAGAGCCAGTACTCCTGTTTGCCTAAGCTAAATAAAGCAGCTTCATTTATTTACCTAAGACAGGTTCAGGTCATTTTTCTACTCCCTGTATCTCCATTACATCTGGTGACAAAACTCAGGATAAAGGAATCCTCCCTGGAGGACTTCCATCCCTATTTTGAGCCTTTGAGAACACTCGGTAGATGTTCCTCAGACCATGCCTCAGATTGCATCTCAGAGAGTCCCTGCCAGACGCCTCAGACTGCCTCAGACCAGGTGAAAAGCTTCCCCTTTATCCTCTTCTCCGGTTCACTTCTCCTTGTTGTTGGCTTCCCACAGCCCTTTCTCCTTTCACTTCCCTTTACCTGCTGAGACTGTTCTCTTTTAACCCTTTAGCCTACAGGATCTTTCCTTAACCCCTTACCGGCTGAGACAGAGAGGGACTCATACCACTTTCTGTGTTCCTTAAATCCAGCGCTGGTCATGGAACACTTCCAGGGAGGAACTGTCCTCCGTTTGTGGCTGGCCAACTGCAGACATCTGCTTTGACCACTCACCCACATCCCGTTACAGCCCCGTGTCTAAGTTGGGGATGCCAACTACTGACCTTGTGGTTACTTATTCTCTCTCTCTGCTCTCCATGATGAATCTCTCCCTCTCCCTCCCCCTCCCTCTCTCTCTCTTCCCACTTCCTCGCCCCTAGCCTGTTTCCTAAAAGGCCTGAAATCTCTGTCTCTACCCTGATCTGAATTCCTAACGCCTACATTTTTTTGAAATACTACCGAGCCACAATATAAACTTGAAAATGGCTCTCAATGGCCAGAAAACAACACCTTTGATTTTTGCAACTTGTAGGACTTAGGTAATTATTGCTGAAAAATGGGCAAATGGTCTGAGGTACCCTATGTTCAGGTGTTCTTTACACCTTATAGTCTTCCCACACTATGTTTCTATTATTCTTCCCATATCCTTCTTTCCCTACCATCGTCTGCTCCTCCTTCAGTCCCATCTGACATAGACTCCTCTTGGACAACAGATCCAAATGACCATGTTCTACTCTAGCAGTTCCCCGTCACTCCTGCCCTGGCTACAGGTGCCACCGCCTGCAACTACAAGCTCCGCTGCCACAACCGACACAGCTACTTCTCCCTTCCCCCTAGAGTTTCCAGCTGTGGCCGCTGCAGTCACTTCCCTCCCTTCCCAGCGTCCTCTGCCGCTCTCCCTAGCCAGCACCCTGCCAGGCCTCCTGTTTATCCAACACTGCCCCTTGACTCTAACTTCCCTCTGTAGCCTGTACACAGCCCTACCCCACCCCATCCTAGTCCAGAATATGGTTTGGCCTCTCACCACTTATCCCTTGCTTTAACTCCAAACCCTTACTCCCCACCCTTAAGTTTCCACTATAAGACATGGCTGGGTCAGAAGGAATAATGAGGGTTCATGTTCCTTTCTGACAGACCTTACCCAAATTAACCAGTGTCTAGGCTGTATCTCTTCAGACCCTAACCAATATATCCAAGAGTTCCAATACCTAATTTGGTCATATAACCTTACCTGGGCTGATTTAAATATTATCCTTACCACCACACTTTCCCCAGATGAGCGAGAATGAGTAATCTCCCTGGCCCAGTCCCATGGGGATGAACACCACCTTAGTCAGGCCACCTTTCTGGTGGGCACTGTGGCTGTCCCCCAGCAGGACCCAAACTAGAACTATCAGGCAGGATCAGGGAACACAGGCAACAGAGATCACATGATTGACTACCTAGGAGAAGAGCTTCGCAGGGCAGCCCATAAGGCAGTTAATTTTGACAAACTCAAAGAGACCACTCAGGCCAGAGGTGAAAATCCAGCCCACTTTATGGCCCATAAGTAGTCACTGCCCTTTAGCAATATACAACATTAGACCCAGAAAAACCAGAGGGGCAACTTATTCTTAAGATGCACTTCATTACCCAGTCAGCCCCAGACATTCATAAAAAGCTACAAAAGCTACAGACTGGCCCTCAAACCTCACAATAAGACCTAATCAATTTGGCCTTCAAGGTCTTCAATAATACAGATGAGAGTGCCTGAAAACAGCACATTCCTGAGCTACAGATGCCAGCCTCTTCAGTAAGAAACCCCCCAAAGTCAGTGATTGAATTGAGCACAAAGGGATCGAAGGTACCTTCGATTTGAGGCATGCCTCTAGGACTGCCCTTCAAATGCTGTCAGAATGGTCACTGGGCTAGGGAATGTCCACAGCCTGGGATCCCTCCCAAGCCATGTCCTTCCTGTGGCAGACCGCACTGGAAGTCAGACTGCTCAGCACTGGCAGCTGCCTCTGGGTCACAACCCCAGAGGCCACGAACCAGCTCCTTCCCAGACCTTCTTGGCCTGGCCACCAAGGACTGATGCCATCTGGAGGGCACAGACGCCAAACTCTGGGTAACTCTTATGGTGGAGGATAAGTCCATCCCATTCCTGGTCGATGTGGGCACCAGCCATTCCACCTATCCTTTTGTCAAAGGGCCAGTATTTCTGGCTCCAACTACTGTTGTGGGTATTGACAGCAAAGTGTTCAGATTTTTAAAACTCCCTCAATTTGGTATCAATTGGGCCAACACCTTTTCTTACACTCATTTTGAGTCATCCTTACCTATCCTGTCCCCCTTTTAGGACAAGATATCTTAGTTAGCATGTCAGCCACACTGACCACCCCCAGGGCACAATCAACACTTACAGCTTCCCTACTCTCTCCTTTACCCTTCACCCCAGGTGCCTATCATCTCCCCTACCTCAACTCCATGGTCTAGGATACTTCTACCCCATCCCTAGCTTCATCTCAACAATTGCTCACCATCCCTCACAAACTTAACCAACCCTACCTTGCCCAATGACTGTATCCCATTCCTTACCTAGCCTTACAGGGCTTAAAAACTATTATCTCTCACCTATTGTAGCACAGACTCCTAACCCCTATCAACTTGCCTTACAACACCCCCATTCTCAGGATACAAAAGGCAGATGGTTCTTATAGGTGGGTACAAGATCTGCCTGCTATCAATCAGCTTGTCCTTCCCATACACCCCATAGTGCCTAACACCTACCCATTCATATCCTCTATCTCTCCATCTCCCCACTCCAGCTGATGTATGTAAGTGCATTTTATACCTAAAATGTACCAATAAAGTTAATGGGGGAAAAAATAAAGGAAATGGAAAGTTGCAACTAATACAGTGCAATTAGTCACAAAATTATTTCACACTCAGAGAGAAAATTCCCATCAGAAACACTCCTGACTTTCGGAAGAGAATTCTAATTACACCAAGCAACCTGAAGCCCAGGATCATGGTCAAACAGGGCACCAAACATGCTTTGGAAAGGCAAAGAGCATATACGTCAGAGCAGGATAACTCCATCTGCATCTCACATCTATATATGGCCTCAGAGCCCTTTCCAGGGCTGCTAGATTCATTTCTTACTATAAACAAGGAGCCTCAGAGCAGCAGCAAGTCTGGGAGCCAGAATTTCCTGACCCCTTCCTGTTATGTCTGGCTGCGAACTGCGCTTCATCGGCAGTCGTGTCTCACACTGCCCACGTCCTGTCACTTTCATGCAGGAATAATGGAGACGAACTCTTCTGGGATAACATAAACCTCATCTGGTTATTTTTTCCCAGGTAGGAACAGGACTGAACCCATTAGGAGAATAAAACAGATCGTTCACTGAAACCTGAAGCTTCACGTGTAAGACCTCAGTGGCGCCACGTTATTTTCTTGCGGACTAGGTACAAGTGAAGATTTCAACTCTCCTCCCTAAAGCTTAACTAGAATTTTAAAATGTTATCAGGAGAAGGCTGGGGATTTAGCTCAGTGGTGCTGCTGCCTGCCTCGCAAGCGCAAGGTCCCGAGTTCGATCCCTCGTACCAAAAAAAAAAAGAAATGTATCAGGAGAAACTGTTAAAACTAGTGTGGCTTTGTATTAAAACACTAACATTTTCATAAGTTGTGATTTTTTTTCCTCTTGGTTTGGGCTAAATTTACAGTAAGGGGCAATAAATTTCTTCTAACAATAAACCTTACAGGATATTTAGAATTTAAACCACTCACTTAAATAATAATGTGATGTTTTACAAAAATTCAATCCAAAATCTTTCAGCTGCATGCAATCTTGAGAAATAAAATATAAATCTTCATCATTACTAATAACAGGTTATTTTGGATGACCTAAATTTTAATTTGGTAAGTGTTATGGCTTGTATCTAGATTCCCCCCACCCCAACGTCTCATGCATTCATAGTGGGGCTTTTGGGAAGTGGCTGCATCCTGGGGTGTGTGATACTGGGACTAAGGTGTGCGGTACTGGAACAGTCCACTAATTGGATTAGCACAGCTCTGGGCGTGGCTGAATGGATTTACTGCAGACAGTAGCCTCCATCAGACTGGTGGCCTGGATGAGATATAAAGGGAAAGGAAGCCCTGATAATGCTGCCTCCTTACTGCCTTGCCATGGAACCAGCCGACTATGGACTAATGCCTCTACAAACCATGAGCTAAAATATACCTTTCTGCCCTTAACTTGTGGGTGCTGCGCATTTTGTTCCACCAACGAGAAAGTAACTAAGACAATAAGCTTTGTGTTAAGCTAAACATTGGGGCATTTCTCACACAAATGCATATTCACCTTCAGATTTCAAGATGATAGTTACTATGTGACTCAAGGTGTTGGCATCACCAAAATTGTGTGAGTAAATATTGCTGTGCCTTTTAAGCATATTAAGTATACTTATTATTAATCAATTAATATTTTGTCTAAATTTTGTCTTGACAAAAAATATTTTTAGCAAAGATAAACCATCATATGAAGTCTATCTAGGAGGAAATAATCAAAATAAGACGTAATGTTAGTGCCTGTTTTGTACCCTGATATTGCATAACTCAAAGATGAGTATTTGATCCCTACCCTCGAAGAACTCAAAATCTAATAGGAAAAGCTAAGTAACAAACTTATTGAAACTAACATTCCCATATATTTTACAGCACAGTCACAAACAGTTTGTGGGGGAGGGATAAATATAACACTGACCCACACAAGTTCAAGGGGGCAGACATTCCTTTGTTTTGTTTCTGAGACAAGGTCTCCTTAAATTGTCCAGGAGGGCCACAAACCTGCCATCCTCTCCCGCCTCAGCATCCCAAGCAGCTGGAATTATAGGCATGCGCCACCGCACCCAGCAAAGGAGCAAGTCCCCAGCGAATTCCAAGTAAGACAAGAAACAGGCTTACAAAATGTTTACACAGACCACTCTTATCAGAGAGAAAGGTGGGTCCTCTTGGGCAGTAAGACAACCATTTAGAATTTACTTACAAATGCCTTTTTTTCATTATTCTTTATTTTCAGAAAAATAAAATAACAGAGCCTCCGGGTAATAATCAATGACTTTCAGCAATAAGTTGTCGATGACAGCTTTGATGTTTTTCAAAACAATCGTTCTGTTATTACTCCTAAGTTTATTATTTCTCATGATTGAAACAACTAACAATGATAATTCCCTGTGGAAACATCTCCCATGCTTTTCACAGGAGGATCAGGGCATTCAATCATCATAAAGAAGCTTGTATAATTAAAACAGCAGTTGATATGAGGAGTTCATTCATGATATAATAATCAATAAAATTTCAGTTCAGAAAAACATTTTTTTTCTTTTCACTTACCATCAGGATTTCGATCTGCTCATCCGAGGCAATGCAAAAATGGGTGGGGAAGAAAAATGCAACAAGTTATCCATAATAAAAATTACAAACAAATTTAACTGATTAAATAAACTGCTTTATTCTGCTTAAAATACAAATGAACATGTCTCAAAGGTGGTTTAACTGCCCTTCAGTAAACAGAGGGAAAACCTCCACACTGGAAAGTCCAACGTGAGTGAGATCCAGCACTAGATCTACCCTGTGCTTAAAAGCTTTTTTAAAAGCAGTAATAACAATTAATTCTTATTTTCTATAAATCAACTGATGTCAAACTGCTACTAGGAAGAATTCATAGGAAAGAAGAAATAATAAAACTATCAAATTGGACTCAACTAAGTTAAAATTTACAGTAACTGAATCTCTTCTGGACCAAAGACCCCTTTTAAAAACCAGAGTACCATCAAAAAATACAAACCAAATTTTAATGGTCTGTTCTTAAATATTTTAACACTTAATAGCTAAGTGGATGCACACTGAGGCGATACTCTTAAGTGAAATAAATAGCACACACATGTATAAATACTGAATAGTTTTTCTGGTGTGAGAAACTGAAAGTGTAAATAAAGATTAAATGTATAACAGGTAATGTGAAATAGGAAGAAAAGGGGCAAAGGGGAAGGAAGTGGGAGGGTAGGGGAAAGGATAGAAGGGAATGGGATTAATATGAGAAAATGGAAAAATAGGAACAAAATCTTTGTAAATAGGGAGAGATGGAGGGGCTGAAGAGAGGGCTGGAGAAGGGTGAAAAATAAGAACCAAGAGAGATTATGTAAAGGTGCAAATTTCCAAGGATGAATGTCATTATATTGTATACCTAAAATGTACCACTGATTTGAATGAATAATCGATAATGCAAAATAGGAAGAAAAGGTCCAAAGGGGTAAGGGTAGTGGGAGGGGCAGGGGAAAGGAAAGAAGGGAAAGGAAAAATGATGTGAAATGGAAAAAATGGAAATAAAGTCTTTGTAAATAGGGAAGGGTGGAGGGCGTGAAAGGAGGGCTAGGAATGGGGAAAAAATAAGAATCAAGATGCATTATGTAAACATACAATTCCCAATGAGAAATGTAATTGTGTTGTGTACCTACAATGCACCAATAAAAGAATTTAATACAAAAAAAAGATACTAAGGAGTTTTATTCAGTCATTAAAAGAGTGCCTAAAACCCTGAATACTACTGAATACTGCCTTAATGTTAATCTAAAATGTTCTTTTTTGTTGTTGTTACTAACCAAGACTAGCCTTTCCTTTAGTTTGAATAAATGACCTAGGACTTTTCTAATGGAAATAAAAATATATCAGATTTATTATTAATTGAAAAGAGAAAACCAACATGAAAATCAGCTAAACAGATGTATCATTAACTACTTAAACTCATAAAAACAATCAGAAGATATCATTTTTAATAGTAGAAAAGAATGTTTCAATTTAATTATATTTTATACTATGTTTTCCCACCTTAAACATATCATTTAACTCATAACTCTGATAATTTAAAGGAATGAAAAGGCTCGTAGGTTTGTTAACAATTTTGTGTTTACCTGTTGGTCTAGAATAAGAAACAACAGCATTTCCTTCCAATTTGGATGGCATATAACTTCTCTTCAGATAAACCGAAAAGGTCACAGTGCTAGTCATCTCTGGTGCTATAAGCAAATTAAAAGCAATATAAATTACATAATTGGGGCAAACATTATTAACAACAGTTAAAATTTATAAAGCACACACTACGTGCCAGGAACTGTCATGAGCACTTCAAGCAGAGTGACGCATGGAATCTTTCCAACAACCTTGTAAGGTGACAGTCACTCCTGCTCCAACTTCTCACGCATGAGAAAACCAGACTGCAGAGAGATGAAGAAGACTGCCCAGGACATGCAGCACACATGAGAGCTAGGAACTGATTCCAGAATAAGGCACTCAGCATTCTACGCCACTGCTCTGTGTCACACAGAAGGCCAGAGAACTTAGGGGCAGCACAGAACCTTGTCGTGGCCAGAGCGCGTCTGCTGGGCCAAGCAGAAGATGGCAACAGAGCTGGAGGCAACAGCAGCAACTCAGCACATGTACACACCTTCTAAAGTAATGTATGTGGCCTCCAACCGGTGCTAAAGAGCCACAGACACCTTTAACGGGATAAGACATCATTCAGAATGTGTTTTAGACAGATAAATTGGGACACTGTAAAAAAAAATCAGAAAATAAATTGAGAATCAAATGACTGTGCATGCCCGAAAAGTCTGCTTCAGCCAATTATTCATGCATTGGTCATTCAGTGAGAAGTGAGTAAGGACTGAGGTCTTTCTAGCTGCCTGGTATTTAGCTAAGGGTTGGTTACACAGAGGCAGAAAAGGGAGAGGTGTTCTACAAAGCCTTAGTTGAAGAGCTGTCCTACACACACACATGCATGCGGACACCCACACAAGCACAAGATATGAAAGATGATTTGATGATCATACTAACAGGACTAGTAACAACTTGGATGTAAGTGGTTGGAGGTGAGAGATTGATTTTACACCAACAAACCTTACTAAGCGTTGCCATTTATGATATATCAGCTATTTTAGGCACTATCATGGAATCTAATAATTTTCTAATTAAATCTTCAAAATAACCCTGCAGTAGAGATAATATTCATTTCGCCAGTTAACATAACTGTTGCTCCAAGTGACTACTAAAATAGTTTGCCCAAAAATATACAAGAAGTGAGTGACAGAGTTAGGATTCAAACTCAAGCCAACTCTAAAACTAATACTCTTTCTTTAAATGTTACTAATTCAAAGGAAACAACAATAAAGAAAGCCTTCCAAATTATATTTAAATAAAATGATAGGCCCAACTCGTTTTAAAAGGCACTTAGAAATACATAGTCCTAAAAGAAATAATTAATTGAATGTCCGTGCTTGTTACTTGCAGGTTGAAAATACAAGCAAAGCAACACAAGCACTGATTTCAGGAAGATCTCATTTTTAGTACTTACATGAGAAGAGTAGCCATGAAATAAGTACACTAATGTTATTTTTTATTCTTTTTTTTGGTCCCGGGGATCAAACTCAAGTCCTTGTCTTTGTGAGGCAGGCAGCAAAACCACTGAGCTAGATTCCGGGCCCTCATGTTATTTTTTAAAAAGCCCTGCACCATGGTAAGCTTCAGGCCAAAACAAGAAGCTTACCCATGAAGTCAAAGGTGAAGTGATCGCAAGTCAACACCAGTGGTGGCTGCACGTAGACTGACAATCTGGCTTTCTGCAGCACCACTCGGTTCTGCAGTGTAACCTATGGGAACACAAAGTGTTACTAATAGAAAATTGTATTTATCGGAATTTAAAGACTATCGTAACTACTTAAAAATCACTAGCAGACAGTTCAGAAGGCTGAGATAAAATGATGAGCCACAAAACAGAATATGCCTTCAACAGGAGATTAAAATATTCTACAAGTTAGAAAGTGGGCAAAGGAGATGAACAGATTTTTCCACAAAGCAGACAGAAAGAGGACCAACGTGCAGTGCAGTGATGACCAGTGTCTTTAGTCATTAACGAAAAACAAACCAGAACCACAGTGGCCTAGGACCACACAGGCACTGAACAACTGTGATCAAAAGGGAGGACAGCGGGCGTTGGCAAGGGGCTTCAGCAGCTGGAGCCTCCTGCACTCTTCGTGGGAACGTGAGGTTTACAGCCACTGAACAAAAGCGCTGAAGAAAAGTTTGGCCATCTCTTAAAAATTTGAACATGAATTTACTTTACCACCTCACAATTCCATGTCAAGAGAAATGAAAATATGTCACCCCAAAACAGTTGCCCATAGCATCATTACTCCTGATAGCCAAAGAGCAGAAACAATCCACATGTTCATCACGATGAATGGATAAACAAAACTGGCATATCTATATAATAAAACAATATTGACCAAAAATGAGAGACATGAAGTACTGCCACATGCCACAACATGTGAGCCTTGAAAATAGCAGAACCACAGACTGTATAATCCTGTTTACATGAACTGTGGAGTAGGAAAATCTATAGGAAAACAGATTAGTAGCTGCTTTCAGATAGGTGAGAATGACAGCTAACAGGAATGGTGCATCTTTTAGGGAAGACAAAATGTTTCAAAATTAGGTTGTGATGATGGTTGCCCAATTCTGCAAATAAACTAAAAGTCATTGAAGTGTGTGAGTTGCATTGCATGTGAACTGCATCTCCATAAAGCTGTTTAACAAGTTCTGTCAAAAGAAAAGAAAAATCCTCCTTTGCGGCTATTAAATAACTACATCATGAAATAAATGTGTTCATTCTTTTTTCACATATAGTTATACTGTCATGGAACATTTATGGAGTATCAGTACATTCTTCTTCACAAGTTGATTATTCTCATTTCCTTACTGAAGTGAATTTACACTACTCTAGATACCTATCAAAGCACTGCGTTTTCTTCCATGGCTTGTCACCAAGATACATGACATAACTAGTTCTAGAAAATAGCAGAGAATAGTGACATTGACTGCTGCATTTCTAAGGGACCTGCATTTCCAAACTGGTGCACCTGCCTGGTGATGCTAAGAAAATCCTCCAAGCCCAGCAGGAATCACTAAATACTCAGGGATAACAGTTTGCCTGGGGAACAGAGTGAGGAGGGGCTCAGAAAGCCAGGATTTCTCACTCTGACATGGGGAGGAGCCTTCCGCAGAAACCATCTGACCAAGGATCTTCACTGGGCCACAGGGCTCACAGCGTCATTTTTAGGCCATCTCAGAAAAGCTTAGAGACCTGCCTTGCACTTCTCTCTTTAGATTTGTTCTCCTCACAGTTTCAGCCTCTTTGCCTGGTCTCTGAGACGGCACATGATCGGTGTGGTAAAACAGACAGCACAATCACCAGTTTCAGTAGGGTCACTGGATCAACTGGGTCAGAACCTCTGAGGCAGACCCGAGCACTGATATTTGAACAGCACCCCTCCCCAGTGACTCCCACACCCAAGTCACTAGCTGAGCCTCTGCTGTGTGGTACTTTTGCTCTATGGCAGGTCAGGGTGCTTACTAAAGTCCTTCACATGACACAGACCCACCTTACTATTAACGGACGCAATGCAAGGATATTCTTATTTTCAAGAAAAGTACTTCTGAATTTTCTCTTCAGTAAAAGGCATGTATCACCTCTTCCTTAATTATGCACATATGTATTAATTTAAACTCTACAAGAATTTGCAATTGGCCTGCAAACCTTATACACATGGTCAGCAAAAATGTATGAATTTTATGTGATGTGAGCATTTTATACAACTTAATAATAGGTTAAACATAAAAATGTTAAGTTCCAAAGTCAAATATAAAAAAAATTACTGATGCAAACAAATACAGTGGTACCTCAGTTCATGGACTTAATTTGTTCTATGGCTTTGGAAAAGATGGCCATGATTTGTGGGGGAAAGACAGTCACAGTCGTGTTTGTCACCTGATGCAGAGTTTGCAAACAAAAAGAAAATTTTGACAAATGATTCTGTTTCCAAACAAAATTGTTTGCAAATAAAAGCATTTATGAACTGAAGTACCACTGTATGATAAACACAGCAAATTAACAATGAATTGCTGGTTTTTACTTTGAAAACTCTGGTAATTCATGAGAAAATTAGAAAGTCACACATAAAACTTCCTCAATGACATCTGACAGTGCTATAAACAACATAACATCTTTCTAGTAAAACCCAAACAGTATCTATGGCAAGAAGAAACCATGCAAGTGGTTCAGGCAATGTTCTTTTAAATAGTCCACTATCTAGAATACAATTTAAGTGTTTTGCTATTAACAGTAAGATAATGCTAGTCTCTGTGTGTGCTTTAAACAAAATTGGTAACATTAATAATCATAGCCATCTGCCTCTTTCTATATCCATGTAACGATACTAATAAGTCACTTATGGGCATTATTCCATTTAACCTTCACAACTATGTGAAATAAGCACTGTCAACTCCATTCTACAGAAGAGAACAGAGTGGCTGAGTAATCTGTCCAAAGCTACCCTGATTATAGGGAAGAACCGCAGTTTAACTGCTGTGTGCCAGAATCCAGGGCCCATACACCTTTTTCAGCAATTGTGGCTAAATCTCAAAATAATTTTGCAAATGAAAAAGGATCCCCATTTTCAGTTTGAAAATAGTAGTTTGGAGAAAGTAAATAACACGTTCAAGACCACTGAGCCATTAAAGTGCTAGAGAGCTGAAAATGGCGATCAGAGCTTGATTTTCAAAGCAAAAGTGAAAACTCCTTAAAATAGTAATAAGCTGTTTGTAAAGGAGCAAACATTCTGACTGCTGTTATAATGACATCTACCTAGGCAACAATCATACACAATTTTACATTGTTACTAGAGGGTTTGCATTTGGTTTAGATGCACAATCGTCATAGCTCATATACATAGACTTATTGAGCCCCAACAATGTGCTGGGCACTTTCAGAACACAAATCAAAGAGATGTGACTAAAACAACTACAGTAACAAAGGATAGCTGTGCCTGAGCCAAAAAAAAGAGTTAAAAACTTGGCTAGATTATAAACCTCACATTTTAAGAGGAAAATAATTATAGACTATTAAGAAGAAATCATAAAATGTTAATATGAGAATTTTCCATGCTACTTTCCGCTTCTACTAAACTGAAATATTATCCTTAAGAAATATAATACCAATTTTTGTCCTAGATATATAAATACGAGCAGCCACTCCACCTTGTTGCTTGGAATCAGTGGTCACGCGTCATGCACACATACTCAGGGTAACTACATCTTCATTCATTTGGAACAGATGAAAAGATTTTCTCAACAGGATTTATTATGGTGGAAACTTGCATGGTTCTATATGATTGAAATTTGTATGACTGCTGTTGTTACAAAAGGCCATAAGGAGAGATTTTCAGCAGAAATTTGTATAGAAACTGTCAGACAGGCCAGGAATTTAGCTCAGTGGTTCCGCCATGTGCCTCGCAAGCGCAAGGTCCCAAGTTCGATCCCTGGTACCAAATTTAAAAAAAAGAAGAAACTGTCAGACAGGATGTCTGCAGTGTGGGTCCAGCCAGTTCTATGCAGCCCCTGGTATCCTGTGTTCCTTCTCCTGCTTTTATAGTGGCAGTGAAAGAGATCTGTGAGTCAGACATTCTCAAATACGGTAATTTTCACTAATGGAGAATTTTCCAGCAGCGTCCTGCCTTGATTTTAGGGAAAGTCTAAGAACTGCCCTGAGAAGAAAGTGTTTATCCATAACAGTAATGCCCGGCTGACTGCGCTTGAGGAGGGCAGCATAAGCAACGTTACCCAATTTAGGTACAAAATTTCTTTTCCAAATTTACAGTGTGTACCTGAGTGTGTATGTGCTTGAACAACGTCATTGCATAGATATGAAAGAGTTTTCTCGACATAAAAGTATGGGTCGTTCCCAGAACTCTGCAGTCATTTTTTTCCTTAAGTGTTTGATTTCTTGCCATTAATACCTTTCCAGACTCAGAAGTATTAATGAGATAGAGCCTTTGATCAGATAGGGGGAAGGGAAACTGGGGAAAGACCACCCTTGTTTCCAGTGGCAAGAATCCAAAATAATTAGCCTGGAAACTGTTACAAGACTGGGCTCCCTTCAATTCTGACCAAAGATCTCCACACACAGGCCGCCCGCTGGGCCCAGTGGAATGCAACTGAGGAAGCTGGGTGCTTAGTGGAGCTCTTCCAAGGGCAGCAGCCCATAGTCTAAGAAAATAGTGATCCTCATCCAAGTTTTGACTAAGTGAAGCATCAAAATCCACAACTTTTCCTGGCTTCTCTGGTCTGGGCAGTGATAAATATTTTCAGCTTAATAATGTGCTGGCTGATTACCACACTCTAATCTAAATGCCTTAAAGGTGTTCTGCATTTGAGTTCTAGTTCTAAAATTCTGCAATGACAGGCCTAAATGTCTTAACCAAAACCACACCCATCAAATTCTATTTTTCCAGAACTAACAATTTGTCACTACTGTACTTTGCAGCTTCTTCATTAGTACTTTCTTGTTATAAATATATCCATTTACAGCCAATGTTACGGCAGATAAATGGCTGAGAATTCTATTCAAGCACACACATAGCCATGCGTGGCAGAGGGATTTTACCAGCACTAGTGTTCTTCCCAGTATCACTCACTCTCTGCCTTACATGATGGCTACCATCAACTGGTAGGTCTGTTAGGAATGAAGATGACATGGCTTCCTGACAAGATTTAAAATCTCAACTGTATTTCTAGGAAAAACGCCGAGATCATGGTACCCCTTTAAATAAAGGTAGGAGACAGTCCTGAGTACTTGTTCCTATTACACACATATTACTATATATGCAACTGTCAGTGTTATGTTTGCAGGTAACAATGAAGGTTTTCTATTCACTACCCAAGGCTGAAGAAAATCTAAAACTCCAAGTGTTTATTTCACTTTTCCATCAGCTTCTGCCAGGGTAGCAACAGTGACAGATGTGATGAAATATGTAAAAAGATTTGCACATTACAAGGTAACCCTGGTACAATACCTTCACTGTGATGGAAGGGACGCGGTCAATTCCAACATCAGCATCAGTGGCCTGCTGTAAACACAGCATTGAGAAGAGAAGGCAGAAAGAATGATTTCAATATTACCCACCGAGAAGTCAACACAGTAGCACAATATACATTTCCCACCATCAGACAGGGAACTGACTATGAAGGATTTATAATGGCAGATTAAGAGTCAGTGTGTGTTATGCATGGAAACACCAGAGTGAATCCCACTACTGTGTACAATAAGTATGCATTAACAATCACAGCAATTAAATTAAAATAAAAATATTTTGTAAGTCACAAAAAAGAGTCATTGTGGCTTCCTGGATGCTTTTATGTGGAAAGTCATAAGCTAATCTTCAAAACCCAGAACTCAAAAGGAAAGAAAATGTCACATATTTTATCAATCCATTGTAATTCCTAATTTACTTAAATGTTAAAAGTATTAATTTTATTAACTTGTTCTTTATACTATGGGGGAGAAACCCCTCCTTGTATTTTCTAGATAAACATTATGCCATTAAAGTGCTTTTATTTTTCAACTCCCAAAATGTACGTTTTATTCAGATTAATAAGAAGAACCTATGATGTGTAATTAATGCTACAGAGACTGAGTGGTCTTACACCTAGAAAATGAAAAAGGAAGCGCACTTTTTCTACCAGTGCACATCACAAACTAATTCAACATGCCCTCTTTGACCATCAGCTTGGGGTACCCAGTGCTGCTTCTCATAGAGCTCACAGTACAATAAGGCAAATATTCCTGATAACTTGGAACAATGAGAGTGATATATTGACAGGGGAAAGAGTTCACTCTGTGATAGACAAACTAATATATTTTCTAATAACACTCATATAAATTCTAATGGAAAAATCATAATTATAATGCCTGTGCCCAACCAATGAATCAGATCCACTGTGCTATTTCGAATTTATTTAAACTAAGAAAAGCTAAGCCACTTCTAAGCAATGGGCTATGATGTAATGGGCATTAGCAGAACTGAGAGTTGGAAGATTCAGATTCTGTCTGTGGCTCCACAGCAAATCATATCTGACCAAACCCTGACGGAGCTGCTCAGTCAGGAAGATGGGAGAGCAATGCTTGTCTCCTTCACAAAAGATGCAATTCTCATATAAATCATATTTCTGTTTTTGAGATATATGCTTTCATAACAATGATTCAAAATAAAATATTACCCCAGGCTTTTTGCTCCATTACTGTATTTTCCAAAACTAAGGAAATGTTTCACATGAAGCTGCCTGCATTTCTAGAAGAGAAATCAACATCTCCTGTTTCTTGCTCTTTTCAATCCACATCTAAACACCTAGATCTTTCAAAGGCAGTAATCCTTTGGGAACATAAATAATAGCCAGAGAGAAATGGTCATAAGAAGACATCATGGCACCACAACCACATGAGTTGTTGAGCTAATGTTCTCCAGTGGAATGAATACGATACTCTTCAGAAATCTCTTAAGGAAAAAATAGCAACAGCAGGAAAATGAAGTGGGAAGGAAACACCTAGTGAAGAGGAAACAATACACATGAGGTTACCGGCAGGAAAATATATCTTACAACACAGCACTTCCACATAAGGCCTTTTCCTACAAAGACCAGGAGTTCTCCCCTCAAACAGAAAAGGAATTCCTTCTCAAAAAGCCTTTGCTTAAAAAAACCTAGAAAAAAATTATACGAGCTGCCCAATGAGGGAACAAAGAGCCATTTCCACAGAAGAAAACGTGTACATTTGTCAGCTGGCTAAGCAGAAATGCTGCCCTCAGACCACTCCACAGAGCAGGAGGCCGGTGAGTGCTAAGGAGCAAGTCCAGGGCAGGGCCGCACTGTGCGACCCAGCTGGGTGACAGCTCCCATACAGAGGCCAACTTCTTCAAAGTGTTCCAGACTTACCACACCAAAGCAATGGGAGCATGATCGTCTTCACAATTTGGATGAGCTGTTTATTCTAGGATTAACCTTTGGAGACTCATGACTACTTATATGATGCACTCATACTCAAATATCAAAGACATTTCCCAGGCAGATTTATATGATATGAATTCCAAATATGGTAAAATGAACAACTTCAATCACTTCCCTAACCTCATCAACTTTCAGCATACAAAGATAAAGTTAATAAACTCTGCTCAAACTCAGGCAATGGGACAACCGGTCACAGCCCAACAAGTACTTACAAAGACCGAACAAGGAGATGGGCTTATACCCAGAACAGTCTCCCCTCACCCTTCCTGTCGCTGTTTTATTCATTCATAGAGTAAAAGGTACTTAGCACCCATTCTGTGGTAAGCACCAAGGATAGAAGTGAACAAGACAAGCAGTGGGGCATAGGTGCCAGTAATGGTGACGAGGATGATGCCAGGGGATGTAAAAAGTAATTTAATGATGATAATTATCATAACAATTCAACAAAATATATTTTATTCTTACTCCCATTCTGCAGATGAGAACACTGTTTTGGATCACACAGACAGAAGCAAAGGGGAAAATAATTCCTGGAGCAACTACTGTGCTCTTAAACTGCACTACCACCGTCACCATAATGTATTAAAAGCATACATCATCAGTCCCTCCACCGGGTCATTTGCAAACATTGTTTCAGTGAACTTCATACACAGTATTGAGGGGTGGTGCTATTTATCTGGATTAGGATTATCTCAATGCTATGGTGCTGAGAAGGTTTTTCATTTTTTAACAGGTGGACTCAGAACAATGGCAAGAAGCTTTTCCATTGCTCCCCTCACTTCTTTATTTATATATTAATTGGTACATTTTAGATATACAATCCATTTACATTTATCGTCGGGTGCTTGTACCTGAACATAATGTATCTTGGTTCTTATTTTTTCCCCATTACCTGTGCACCCTTCACCCCCTCCACCCTTCCCTATTTACATAGACATTGTTTCCTTTTTTTTTTCTTTTCTCATAATTTTTCCTTTCCCTTCTTCCCTTTCCCCTGGCCCTCCTGCCACCCCTACCCCTTTGGACCTTTTCCTATTTCAAAAGTTCCTTCTTACTGGAACCCAGAGGAAGAAACTATGTTTAATCCAGAAAGACACAAAGCCTCAATTTTGTTACCTTTCCTGAAATTTCTATTGGGAGGCCCAGAATTTAAGCTAACAGATTTTTATCTCAATTCTAAATATGTAAATACACCTACGGACACTGAATCAAAGTTCATCCCTTGTCGCCTTTGCTACTGTGTGGGCACCATGTTATTTCTCCTCTGTGATGCTTGTTTGCCAGCCCAGCTTTGGAGCCAGCTGATTATGGACTGAAACCTCTATGAACTTTTTTATACAGGAGGAGGCTTCCAGGTAAGCGTGCCGCAGCTTCCAGCCTGGAGGAGGCTTCCAGGTAGGCGTGCCACAGCTCCCAGCACAAAGGAGGCCTCTGGGTCTGCGTGCCACGGCTCCAAGCCCAGAGAAGACTTCCAGGTCAGCATGCCACAGCTCCAAGACAGGAGGAGGTTTCCAGGTAGGTGTGCCACAGCTTCCAGCCTGCAGGAGGCTTCCAAGTAGGTATGCCACAGCTCCAAGACAGGAAGAGGCTTCCAGGTAGGTGTGCCACAGCTCCAGGCACAGAGGAGGCCTCTCGGTCTGCGTGCCTCCACTCTCAGCCCAGAGGAGACCTCCAGGTCAACGTGCCACAGCTCCCAGCCAGGAGGAGGGTTCCAGGTAGGCATGCCGTGACTCCCAGAGTGGAAGAGGCTTCCGGGTACGCATACTGTGACTCCCAGCACAGAGGAGGTGAGCCATGCAGGTGCCAGGAACAACTCCCCACTCCAACGAAATGAGAAGACAGGTAAATAAGCCTCAGAACCAGACTTCCAGATCACCTACAGAAACCCCAAAAAGAAATGAGATGGAACATTCTGATATTCAACTACCTGGACTCCCTAAACTAGCAATGAAAGAGGATCTGGAAAAAATGAAATCAGAAATAATTTCTCATATAACAGAAAAGATTGTGCCTATAGTGAAAGACATGATTAATAAATCTAGAGAGGATACAGATAAAAAAATAGAGGACCTGAGGAACATGATGGAATGCCAACATAGGAAACAAAGTGAATCCATAAAACAGATAGGAACTGATTTCCAGGAGAATAAAAACTCCATTGAAAGTCTGTGCAGCAGAATGAGCCAATGTGAGGACAGAATTTCAGATATAGAAGATAAGATTGCAGTTAGTGGCCAGGAAAAGAAAAATTGCTTTAAAATTGTAAGGGATCACAAGAAATCAATCTAGCAGCTGCTAGACAATGCAAAGAAGAATAACATAAGACTGACTGGAGTCAATGAAGAAACAGGAGAGAGTCAAATGACATAAAAAAAAAACTGTTCACAAAACTGATGGCAGAAAACTTCCCAAGCAGGGGAAAAGAACTTGACATACAGATAAGTGAGGCATATAGGACTCCAACTAACCTTGATCAAATAAAAATCTACATATAGGCATATAATTGTTCAGATTCCAGAAACTGAACAGAAGAACAAAATTCTACAAGCAGTGAGAGAAAAGAAACAAATCACATACAAAGGAAAGCCCATCAGAATCACAGCAGACTTC